CTTGACTGCAGCTCCAATTTTTAATGTTAATTTATATGGTGGAAGTTCACTCAAGCCCACTGTGTGATGAAATTCTATTAGGTATCTCAAGAATACATTCCTAGGTATTCTCAAGTAGTTGAGTTTTTCCACACACAATGTTCTCAAGAACCTCTTGAGAATGGTTAGAATACAAAGTTATAGTTTTCATATTGACCATAAATATTAACATTTAAAAATTTTAGTTTAATTTAGAATTTAAAATGTTTGATGATGAACCATGGCTTCCTTTGGGAAAGGGTATTTGATAGCTTTTTAGATTGATATGTAAGAATGGGCAAATTGATATGTCTGTGCAAAAATCTGTCATTGCCATTACAAAACACAGGCATTGGAAAAGGAAAATAAAGTGCAAATTATGTCCTTTCTTATTTCAGTAAAGAACAAGGACAATTTAGCTACAATAAAGAATTGTCCTTTATTTTAAAGGACATATGGCAATTCTTCTTGTTATATGTTACAAATTGAATATTATTTTATGTGGTAATATAAATTACCATAATAATTAATATTGATAGTTATTATAATTTATCAGTTTATCACTTTACAATCTAAAATGCATTGTGAATTGTTAGATTTTCCATAGTTCCTGGTAAAATTATATGAGGTTGCCAATCTGCACATAATAACAGGATTTCCGAGCCGTTCTGAGTCATAAGAGGGTTTGTTTGGTATAAAGACAACTCTCCAGTTACATAAATTTCATCCCAATTTATTGTAACTTAAAATATAGCTTACAACAACAATATTTAATCTGTCGGTGGAGAATAAATCTTCAGGTTCCCTTTTCTTATTGAGAAGGTTCTTGATGTTNAATTATAATGAGTTATTTCTAAATGTATTAAAACTTTTCTTTGCGTTGCCAGTTACTATAGCAAGTGCTGAGCGCTCTTTCGGCAAATTAAAATTAATAAAGAATTATCTTCGATCCAGCATGTGTGCAGAAGGCTTAATGCATTTGCTATATTAAGCATCGAAAAAGAAATTTCAAAAATTATAATTTTCCTGAAGTAATTCGTGTATTAGCGAGAACAAAATCACGCTTTAAATAAACATGCATTAATATATGTTCGTGTTTGTAATTTTTTTTATTTTACAAAAAATGTAGGGCCCAAATAGTTTCTTGCACCCGGGCCCCTTCATAGAGAAGGCCGGCCCTGATGCTGGCTAGCCATCTTTTTATATACAGTACATCAGTTCGTACATAACGTGCTGGGAGCCTTTCAACTCGTGCATTAGCACGTGCGTGCCGTTCTGTATGCTACAAAATAATGATAATTTTCTAGTATATATAGGATTTGTCCAATAAGTATCGGGACTGATTTTTTCCTGCCAATGGGAAGGGGTAGAGAACTGTCTCTATAAGCGAAATCGGTGGTGGAGATGTAACATAAGCTACGAGACCCGGTTCAGTTGTCTCAGAGTCTTCGGAGTTTTTAGATCGCGCCCAAAGTAAAAGTGTGTTTAGTGTTCACGTCGAGAGGCTTCAGCAAACCTTCGAGTAGTGTTTTGCTATCAAATTTTGCGTTAAATTGAACAAATCCGCTATGGAGACTTTTGATATAATTCGTGAGGCTTAGAAGAACGAAGCCCTAATTGCGTGTTTTTGAGTGGCATAAAAAATTTAAAGATGGCCGAGATGTCGAAGACGAACATCACGATGACGTCCGACAAATCAAGAGTGAAATCGATGGATATTGTCTTTGACGCAAAAGGTGTGGTTCACAAGATGTTTGTGCCTACTGGACAAACAGTGAACGGTAAATTTTAGTCAGAAACGATCGAACGTTTGAGGATTAGGGTCCGCTGCGTCCGAAGGGAAATCGCCGATACCTGGATGCTCCATCACGACAATGAGCCCAGTCACACATCGCTAATTGTGAGGGAGGCACTGACCAAACACAGCATGTCAACACTGCCCCAACGCTACAGTCCAGATATTAATCCTACGACTTCTTTTCGTTCCCTCGGATCAAACGGAGCCTGAAAGGACATCGTTTCGGGACGATTGATGCAGTTAAAGCAGCTTCGACGGGGTACCTGAATCTGAGGTTGCCGACTTCCAGAGAGCGTATAAAGACTGGAAAAAGCACTGGCAGCGGTGTGTTAATGCAGGAGGTCATATTTTGAAGATTATTAACTCACTGTACACATATCTTCATAAATTTCTTTTTGTGACTTCAGTCTCGATACTTATTGGACAAACCCTGTATTTTCAATTATATATTTTAATATACAATATTTATAACTTGCAAATATATTTTAAATTTGTTTATTCGTTGCTATTTTTATTTTGAATTGACAAATCTGGATTGAAAATGCCTTTTACTTAATAGAAATATTTGACTTAAAAATTGGGTGTTTTGTTATCGATTTTATGTTACCGAATTAATCGAATAGCAACGAATATCCAGTTTTATTCGCCGATTGTTATTCTGTCGAGCAATCGGGGTCAGTTTCTGGAAAACAAAAAACTACCACAAAATGGGTGTCGCCTTGACGTGGCTTTGTGGCTTAACGTGTGAAAATGTTATCGAAGTTCTAAAGATAATGTTTTTCACAGACTAAGTACACCCGACAGAAATTTCACAAGTATTTTCATGCAGGTTTTATGAAGCGCTGTTTTGTCACTTTCTTAAAAATCACAGAAAGACACAGCACTAAATGTGTTGACTCTATCGCTTTATATAGGTAAAAATAGACAAGCTAAAATTAATATAAAATGTACTGTACTAATAGGAGAAGAAAATCAGTAATACAGTATATCGGTATGTCCTATAAAAAGTTTGACGTTCAGGTGAAATTCTTAATGGAGTTCTCTTCTTGGAGTTCGTTGTCACTCCATGTTGTCTCGAGTTCTGTCTTTTCATCCACGACACAAATGCTTTCGTCTTCCGTGAAGAATCGGAGGAGAGAGAGCCGCCGAAGTCGGGATGCCGTAGTAGTGCTGGTGTCTGCGGTTTTCTTGGCGTAGGCGGTGATCTTCTTTGGTTTTTCTCAACTCGTCTTCTTTGTACCCGGATGTGACACTCTTACCAGATTCGACTACTTTTCACCCAGAGTTGAAACTGTTACCCGGACGTGACTGTCTTATCCTAATGTGAGAATTTACTGGTCTCCCGAATGTGACACATTTCATCACCGGAATCGACATTCGACTGATATTTCCACTGGTTGGATTTGTTTTCCACAAATCCAACCCTTGGATTCTCGTCCCGGAAAGTGAAAAAAACAACTTCAAAGATCAAAAAGCTAAAAAGCTTTTTTTTTTTTTAACTTTTTCCGCCCTGTGGACAATTTTTGGAAGCCCATTATTGATTCGGCCATACCCACAATGGGCGACCGGGTGGTAAGGACAGTGGCGTAGCGTGGGTTTCAGTCGCCCGGGGCAAAGGAAAATTTCACCGCCCCATTATTTAGGTATCTCAATTTAAAAGACTAAAATTCAGTTTCGTAATAGAATAAGTAATGAAAAATTTCATGCTCATTTCAATCGGTCCGAATCGTAGGTGCGACAAAAATATGAAATGAAATGGTTCAAATTTTTGCAAGATATTATTATTTTTTGTGAAATTTTGCCGCCCCCTAAAAGTGCCGCCCGGGGGCGGGCCGCCCCTGCCGTCTCCACTACGCTACGCTACTGGGTGAGGAACGGGGCCTGACATATCTGGACGATAAAGATCAAAAAGGTTTAAATTGGCGACCGAAGGGGTTTCTAGTCTTTACAATTTGCATCAATTAAACAGAATTTCAGACTTCTTATCAATAATTGATTTGTGATAAATTTTTCCGTTTACAAGAATTATATTTAAGACAAAATTTTGAAAATCTAGTGCGATAAGAAACTATCTGTGTACAGATCTCGCTCCTATTTTATTATTTTTAAATTCTCTCTTATATCATTAAATATCTTACTTGTTAGTACCCATTATATTGCATGACACTCTCAATATGGAAAGTGGGTGGTGGTGGATGCGACCCTACTTATGGAGCCAGATGACCCATGTAGACGTTTTCGTAATATTATTCTATGTTCAGAACATCGTTTAAATGCTCACAACAATTTTTCGCTTCGCTCTTCTAGCCAATTAATTTCTTACTTTGTATTCTAAGCTACCGAACACGGTTCTGAATGGACAAAGATTCTCAAGAAGCTTCCAAGAATGTTCCAGTTCAATATCTCCAGATTAGATCATACCATCAATTCGTCAAACTCATCACGGGCGGAATCTACGACGAGAAGAGATCTTTTAATGCATCCTTTTAGTGGCGGTTGAGATAAACGCGTCAGTCTACCGCTCTGGAGACCCGTGTCCCAGATGGGTCAAGTTAGTGCAAGCAACACATTCATATGTTGGATTCATATTTTACCACTCAGTGGCATAGCGTAGTGGAGACGGCAGGGGCGGCCCGTCCCCGGGCGGCACTTTTAGGGGACGGCATAATTTCACAAAAAATAATATCTTGTAAAAATTTGAACCATTTCATTTCATATTTTTGTCGCACCTACGATTCGGACCGATTGAAATAAGCATGGAATTTTTCATTACTTATTCTGTGACGAAACTGAATTTTAGTCTTTTAAATTGAGATACCTAAATAATGGGGCGGCGAAATTTTCCTTTGTCCCGGGCGGCTGACACCCACGCTACGCCACTGTTACCACTCGGCAGTTCCGGTCGAGTCAATAACGGACAACCAAAAATAATTTACTCAATAGACACAAGGAGGGAATAATTTTTAAAAAATAATAAAAACCGAATGCGGGCCTACCGCTTCGTTGCTATTCGGCCTACAATCTTATTTATTCGTTTCAAATTTTATCATTTAGTTATATGATGTGTATTAATTTAATAATTTGCTTATTATTTTCAAAATTATTTTTGAAAATTCTTCTTGAAAGCAAATAAAATTTTCAAATATTTATATATATATATATTTCGTGATGGCGTTCGTACTACATCTGTTTGATGACGTCAAAGAAACCGAACGATGTAAAGGTTGACGAAGATCTAATAGTTTTTCTTATTTCCTAAACCATATTGTTGATCAAATATCACTTTTGAATGATGGAATTAGGAGAAGTTGTCAATCCACATTATGCATTTCCAGTTGTCGGAGTTATATTGTGTGTCTTATTAGTTTTCGCGTTTGGATTCAAATCTCCCGTTCAGCCACCGAGTTTTGATAGTTTGGAGGCAGAAAAGAAACCAATTCCGAAGAAAAGAACGAAGACATCGAAATCTAAGGACTCCAATAAGGTAAAATGATCACCTAATTGAAACCAATAAGTAAATATTAATGATATTTAAACGCTTAAATCGACATTAAATACACATTTTAAAATCATATTCGGTAAATCGGACATAACATCTGATTTTCCGGTTTGTATGGTATAAACAGTTGTGTATGTATATAGGCTTGCAACTTGAAATACCATGGATGGAGATAGATAAAAGTATAATAAAATCTGGCATACATTTTATATTCCTAATTATGTATTCATCTATATGTGTTTGATTTTTATAATATGAAAGTAATAATGTTAATTAATTATGTATTAAATTATATAGCTTTTCAAGACATTCTGGATACATTTTAGCTTCAAATATTTATATAGGAAAAAAGATTGGTCTTTGGTGTAATTTTCATCTTCTGTAAAGAATAATAGTAAATAGTTAATTAAGCGTAATGATAATTTAAAATGTTGGCACATGTTTACTACCGATGTAACTTTAATTTTTAAATTCTTTTGAATAAAATCTTAATAAAATTTGTTCCATATGGAATAATCATTTTATCTTTTCTTATCCTGAAATTTAATTAGGATTATCTGTTACAGAAGTTTAAAATGCTGATATTAAAAATTCATCATTTTTTTTTAAAAATCAGCATTTTAAAGTATCTTATAAATAAATTCTAGTCACTTTACTGATTAGTCAGCAAATAAGTCTTTTTTACAAACATGTTAAATATTTAATAATGAAGATTTTGTATAAATAATATTGAGTCATAATCTAATTTATGTGTAAAAATTTAATCTGGTGACAGATTATTATAAATTTTTAAACTACATGCCATTAAAATTTAATATAAAGCTATATGTATATTTTCGCAGATGACAAACTTCAAGTTTTATGGAGAGTTTATTGTTTATAATATATATTGAATTTTTAAATTGGTTACATAGACGTTTTACAACGTTTCAAATTTTGATATAATGCATATTGTAAATTGACACAAAAATATATTGAAATTCAGAAAAAAATATATTAAAGTGTAAACCTCATTACAACTATAACAATAGTTAAAGGCTAAAGTAATATTTATAATGAATATCTAAAAAACTTTTAAAAGAATGCTATGTTAAAGTACTTTATTGTTTTACTATTTGAGATATAGCAAAGTAAAATACTTTGTTATATCTGAAATGGATATTATTTAATCAGAAATTGAAAATATAAACAAAATAAAATGAATATATGCAAACATTTTTTATGCTTGCTAGTATAAATTATTTCTTCTTTATTTTTAATATATTTTTAGTGTTTCAATATTATTCAATGTACATAATAATTATTCTGTTTAATCTGTCAGATATTAAGCACAGAGATATGAACTGTTAAATACAATTATTAATGTATAACTAAATTATTTTGGAAATTGACAAAAAAATCAATTAAAAATACTGTATGTAGATAATACAGTTCTTGTTTGTAAATATAAAATCATTAATTATAACTTTCATTTTATATTTATTAAATATTTTGTCAAAAAATTTATAATTTTTTTAATTAAATAAATTTTTAAATTGCCATATGCAATGATGATTCACTAGCAATGTGAACATCATTTTTTTAAGGCTTCATTAAAGATAATTTTTGTTATGTATGATGAATCCTTAGTTGCCTGAAAAGTTTTATCATTTTATTGTATTTGCCTTTTGGGTTATATTATCATTTTGATTTTTTAGTTATATTAACAATTTTTGATATTATTAGTTTGATATTACCATTTAACAGCTGAATTTAAAAATGTCTCTGGCTATATCTCTGAAGTTGAAGAGAATTATTGATAAAAAGTTTGATCTAAAAAATGAATCGCTTAATTTGTCAAAAAAGACGATATCAGTTAAGAGTTAACATTTATTTGCTTTTGTCTGTATAGACAAAAGCAAATAAATGCAAGGAAATGGTTATAAGAAAAAATATATTACTCTGGTGTTAGAACTGTTAAGAGGAATTAAATATAAACAATTACAATTACTATCAACTGAAAAAAACATCAATAAAGAAATTGTTTTAAAAGAAATGTATCTAAGGTTTTTTTAGTGTAAGTTACTAGAAACAGTTTTACCATTAATATTTGTTTACTTTAAAGTTCATAAGAAAATTTAAAATAGTTTCCCTGATATTTAATAACAGATGTTAATCAATATGTATAGTTTCTAAAAGGTGCTAACAGCATTTACTTTTGATAAAATGAAATCTTATAATTTTTATAGTCAGAAATAGTTGACTAACAACAAGATGCTGTCCAAGTTTGCATTGTACTGTATTAGCTCATGTTGTACTATGAGTTAGTGTCAGTTCACATAGTACAAAAATATTTTTGATGTAATGGAATCTATGTGAATAAAGAAAGGATTTTTAGAGAGGATTTTTAAAAAATGGATTATAGCAGTGGCATGCCATGAAATTTGATGATAAGGGAAGCTGTGTTTCTGTAAGAAGCCGACTTCCAGGGGCAATCAGTTAATTATGTGTCAGGGTCCATTCATAATCGTTTGTTCAATAAGCGGTACACTTCTTTAAATGTATTTTTAATAGAGTATCTGACATACTTCATAAATAAACAAGTTCAATATAATTACCTTTGTTATTAGATTCAACTGATTCCCTATGTCCTCTAAATGCCAATTCTTACTTTTGAGAAAAAACATATAACATCTATTAATTTAGATATTACATATCTATTAGCTGTAATTATCTTGTTATAATTTTCAATATTTATTTTATATTGTCTACTAATGTTAAATTCTATTCTACTTTAATTTCCAAATTGCTTCAATTTTATGAAAGAATCGATGCGACGTTTACGATTTTCGTGTCTTTTGCCAGCTTTACTAATTTAAATTGTCAAAGCCATTCTTATTCCACACACTAATTTTATTTGAAAATAGTAGGCATGGCAAACAAAACAATTTTTTCATTTCTATGCATCCACAAAGCCATTTTATGTCTTCATAAATTTTATTGTGAAATGTCAAACAAATTTTTTTGTTGAAGTATTTATATTTAATTTAGGCATTGGTCTTTCTCTTTTAATAATGTTTTCTTTTTTGTTATATGGTCNGTTTGGCTTTGCCTACTTTTTAAAATGTTTCTAAAATGACTTAGGCAAATGGCATTACTCTGAGCAGCAATATGGCCAGTGTGAACCTTTTTTGGAATGTTTCTTTTCAATAAAATCAGTCACTTTCTGATAATACCTCAAGATTTCCTTTATCGAGCGAGATCCTTCCACGACGAAGCGAACACGCAGACTGAGACTGATGAACAGAATTGAATAAAAAATGGTGCTGCGAACTAATGTAACGTCATATGGTGAGTTTTTGTTCATATTGTGGAGCAAAAATATGTTTGAATTTCATGTCGTATCCTGAAAATTTCATATGCTGGGGCGTTCATATCCTGAGGTACCACTGTATAGATATTGAATTATTTCTTTAAGTTTTTATCTTAAGAACTAAAGCACAGAAAAGAAAGAAATATCTAAATAATATCTTAAAGCCCAATGAGTATATAATGAAATAACAGTCTACCTCTAGTGACAAATTACTTTATATTAATAATTTAATTAGCCAAATTCTAGCCCGATCTTAGAAGGAAATATCTTTTTATTAGTCCATATGGAATAGTTTAAATTTACTTATACTATAAAATATATATAGGAAATAGTTCAATATAAAATAACTGTTATTCAATTTATTCATCATTGACTATTTCAAATTTCAGACTTTTTATTACAACATTATTATTGTAAGTTTAACTATTGTAAAGTAAATATATGGTATATTATATTTGTAGTAAATGGCAAATGCAATTAAATTTTCCTTAATAATAATTATAATCAATTGTATTTAAAGGTTAAATCACAGCAAAATGGACGTGTAGGAGGTTCTCCTTCAAGCAAGCAAATAGAGTCTAAAGATGTTCAGCAAAATATAAGTAACATTAAAAGTGCTGAAAAGCAAACTCCAAAATCTGAATCAAAGGTAAATAAATTATATATATTCATTTATATTTTCATTAAATGGTAATTTAGGTTATTTTAAACCTAAACATTTACATATTAGAAAGAGAAACTGAAATGTTAAAGGAGTCAAAATATTTAGTTTAAGCACTTTTTGGGATTTTCACTCCAACTTTAGATCGACTACATTCTGATGATATAAAAATATAGAAGAATCTAAAACATCTTCAAACTTCCATCATGTTCAATCACCAGTATTTTTCCTATTGATGTTTTATAAATTTCCTGAACAATTTTATAATTGTCCAGGAAATTTATAGAACATTTTGAAATTATAAAACGTAAGAATAATATTAATTTAAATAATGGTATGTTAGTTAATATGAATTGGAGTAATGTAATAGTTTGAATTGGTCAATTGCAATAGTAAAATGTAGTAAAAGGGGAGCTTTGTAACTATAAGTTATGTCTGTTGTCAGTTTAGAGCAGTGTTTCTCAATGGGGCAATATTGCTCCATGTGGGCGTTTTTTCCATATTGGGGGGCAAATTTATATTTTGAGAGTGAAAAACAATTTTCTGGGTGATATAGTAAACCATGAGAATAATTAGATATTTTATTTGTTATATCGTACAATAATTAAGCAAATAACATTATACTAGTGATTAGTCTATTTAATGCAATACAAATTTGGTGTTAGCCATTGCCCTCGGAAGCGGGGATTCACAGTGAATAATGCTTAATTTTAATTTTAATTATATCAAAATCTAGTAGGTATTCTAAGTAAATAAGTGTTTATTTGATAATTATATACTTTGTAAAAAATTAAACTAATAAACCCAACAAAATTGTTTTTTACGTGAAGGGGGCGATACTACTTAACGGTTTTATTGAAGGGGGCAATGATTTGTTAGAGGTTGAGAAACACTGGTTTAGAGTAAAGAATGATCTAGCATATCTTAAGATGTATAAATAATTTTTTAAACAAGATCAATGTTTATTGGTGACAATGTTTATACCTGTTACAAAAACTTTTATATATGAAAAATTTTACTAATTATGTTAAGTAAAGGTATGTACAAGTTTAGATGTTTGTCTTATTTTATGTAGTTGTTGATTCAATTTATTGTATCATTGTAGCATGTACTGAAGAGGGGCTAATGCCCAAAATGCATACATTAAGACTGGTATTAAAATATTTTGGATAATATTCTTGCCTGCTTAGTCCTTGTCATTTGGAAGATATGTGGCTGTTTACATTGGGAATTGAAAAATATGTTGTTTAGTTTTCTAAATTTTCAAAGTATTTCTGGATTTATTAATATTATAAGCTGATCCATAATTGTGAGATTTATACTTTTTGTTTTTTATTATGTTTTATTTTTTATTCATTAGCCAATACATAATTTGTGTCTAATATTATTTCATATTTTTTATAATTTTATTGTACTTCTCAAATAGTTAAAAGTAATTGTTAGTTTACAGATTGTTTATCTTAAGAATTTTCAAATATAAGTTGTCAGTCAGTTTGATTTCAAAAGTTTATAAACATATACAGTTAAATTCAAATTACAGTATTGGACCAAATTTGTGGCTTTCAGAAATCCAGAATTACCAGAAAACTGACTAGTTTGGAGATTATTTTTAATTTGGCAGGCTGTAATAAAGCTGTAGTTTGCCACATAGCAACTTTTTTGTTTCTGTGATGTATGCATTACATGAGTTTTTGTATTTCTGGCATATGATGTGTTAAATACAATTTCACTGTTTTCATTCTTTGCATTGTTTTTTTACTGAATATTTTAATAAAGAAATAAACACAATATAATTATATTTAAAAAAAATTTATAAAGCTTTATTAAAATAAATTGATGAATATAATTAAATTTTAAAGTATATTAATGCAAATAAAACCTTAAATTACATGATTCTTTTGAAATAAATAAAAATTTTTAAAATATTTTACTAAAAATCTGTATATTTGTTACTGTTGTTATAACATGCAATAATATTCTACACTTGCACATTCATGTTACATTATTATTATGAGATTCAGCATATGTGTACTTATTTTTATGTTGATGGTATTTTTACAATAATCAGTACATATATTGAAAATTTCTATTCTGTAGCAATGTATATTAAAAGTTTCTATCTTTTTGTCATTGTGACCCAATATATTAATTTCACAACCCATCAATGAGTTGAAACCTGCAGTTTGAAAAACACTGTACTAGAACATATGAAAAATTATGCATATGTTCTAGATGCAAAGTTAAATTAAAAGAATATATTGTTTATTGTACAAGGGGGGGTCAGCTGGTAAAATGCACCTCAACTTAAAAGATCCATTAGGCACCCCACAACAGATTATTTCTTAAGTCTAATTTCTTTAAAAGACAGCAGACCTCTGAAGGAAAGCTGAGGAACATCAGCAGGATTCAAAAAAGGAGATCCCAGATGAACAAATATGCTCAAGCAATGATCTGTACACTCACAAATGAGATGCAGAGGATTCTCCTCAACAAATCTGCAAAAGTAGAAAAAAGCTGAGGAGCAGTGTTTTAGTCAGCACAATGTTTATAAAAGTGACCAAAATTAGTCACAACACCAACCAAAAAGCAAATGTGATTTCTGTCAAATGACAAGAAGTCTTTAGTTTTCCCAGAGAGCAACTAGGCAGAAATGTCTTGCTCTATTTTAAACCAGTAGCTGATCTCTAATGCTTAGAATGATTGAAAGTAGTTTATTCTTTGACAGTTTTAAATAAAGTATTGTAGGAAATACCAAGAGTTGGTTCAAATCCCACAAGGGAATGTGAAACTTCCTGTTTGATCAATAAATCAGCAATATCTTTGACCTGGCACCCACAAGAGAAAGACTGTTAAGGGTAGCCAGCTCATTAAGGTACAAACAAGTGCTGAAGTAACCTGACAGGAATCAAGTGTCTTTAATGCAGTCTGACTATTAGAAAAATGTAGATAGTGTTGTTAAAAAACTTTTGATGCAAAATAGTGCACCAAATAATAGATAGAAATTCTGCTTGAAACAATGAGGAGTCTAATGAGTGGGACAAAAAAAGTTCCTACCAGATTATCTCCCACAAATGTTTGCAAAATGTTATCAGTTTTGGACAATCTATTGGGTTGTTCAGAAAGTAATTTCATTTTTTTTCCGTGGAAAAAACACAATATTTTTACAGTAGTACCTCAGGATACGAACACTCCATCATATAAAATTTTCAGGATACAACATGAAATTTGAACATAATTTTGCTTCATGGTATGAACAAAAACTCACCATAAGATGAGCCATTTTTTATTCACTTCTGTTCATTGGTCCATGTGTTTGCTTCATCGTGGAAGGATCTCGCTTGATAAAGGAAGTCTTGAGGTATTATCAGTGGATTCTAAGTTCTGTATTCGAAGAGTGAAGATGTGTTTGTGAGGTGCTCATGACAGTGTATTTGACTGAGTGTAGTGAGGTAAGCCTAGTTTTAGACCTAGCAAGCTGCATGCAGTGTATTTGTATAGAGGGTTAGGCTTAATTTAGGGTTAGAGGTTGCATTAGGCTTAGGATCTCTAAGCCTAACTTTTTTGCTAAAATTATTTAGCTTAGCATTGGAGTTTTGTGTCGACCATCTTAGCTTCCTTGGCAAGCAGGAAGGCAGCAGCAGCAGCAGCCATATTGGGAATTGTGTTTTGTGTTTGTCTGTCAGCTTGTTTTGTAAATACCTGTCACCTTACATGTAGTGTTGTGTCTGTGTTCCATTGTCTGCCTTTGGTTAGTTGGGGCAACCCGCTAATCAGCAGACCATTGTTCTGTCCAGCTAGATTGACACTATTGACAAACTAGCCAGACTGTCATCAGCAGTCCAGTGTTGCCACTGGCCAAGCTAACTTTGCCACCCTCAACATAGTCTTCACCATCATAGGAAGCTTTACACAATACCAACAGTGTTCTTCAGAATCGTTCGACTCTGTTTCTCAATATCACATCTGCAGCTTATGGATACTTTCTTGGATATTCTCCTTCATATTACTGGACAGGAATCTCTGGATAAGTCCCCTGTACTTTAATTTCATGACACATCATTGAATTGGTCACCCTTGGTTGCTAGATTAGTGCGTCAGCCACCTTTGCATTTCAGTGTGCAATTAGCTCTTTTGACCAGTGCGTCAATCCAGTTTAATAGTTCTTATTTCCTTCAGCCCAGTTTGGATCTCCGTGGGGGAGTATGGGATCTAATATTATTGATAACTTTTTAGTGGAGGCCTACACTGTAATTGACGAAGTAAAGGGGTACTTTGCAGATAATCCTAATGCTAAACTTGGAACAAACCAGCATGTTAGGTACGTTACAGATAGATTAATAAGATTATTAACTTAATGGAATGGGCCCTTAAAAATAATAGACTTTCCAATAGAGTGGAACAGAAATTTAATGCTTTAATCTCAAAAGAGGAATTACTAGAGACAACTTCAACACAAAATGAGAAAACCTTGGAAGCCATTTTAGGAATCAAAGAGGCTGTAACTAACTTAGGCAAGTCTGTTCCTCCTGCTCCCGTGTCGAAAAGTGGATCTAATCCCTAGCTACAGAAATGTGTTAAAAACAGGCATTGGTTCTAAGCACCCCCTTCTATTCCTCCTTCATCCATCCACACTGTCTTGGTATATAGTGACAAGCCTGAGAAAACATCAGAAGAAACCAGAGAGTTGCTAACAAAAAGTGTAATGCTGCAGGAACTGGGTGTAGGCATTAAGTGCATAAAGAAAATAAAGGCTGGAGGGGTGGCAGTTGATATCCCCTGTTTGGAGGATGCACAGTATTTCGAAGAAGTTGTCAGCAAAGTGCCTGGTCTGAACTCTAAAGTTGCAAATAATAGAAAGCCTCTCATAAAAATTGCATCAATTCCAAAGTGTATAACTAAGGAAAACTTATTAGATTCAGGGATATATTCTGGTTGTAGATGAAATCTACAACCAGAATATATCCCTAGTGTATGCCTATACTCAAGAG